ATAATTTTTTTAAAATATTAGTTATTTATCATAAATTTAAAATATAATTTATATGTTTAAAGATATTTATTTATGTAGAATTTAAATATAATTTATATATTCAAACATAATATTCATTTACATATATAACTTATTATAAAATTTAGCTATATATAATAAACATGTAAACATGTAAATTGCATAGACTAAAATATCAGTAGAGTTAAAATACAAAAAATTAAATTAAAAACTTAATAAATATTTTATTAAGATCAATAAAATTTATTATATTCAAACCTTAAAAATCAATTAAAAGTAGTACTAAAATAAAAAATCTATAAACTATAAAATTATACATCAATATAATTTATTTATCCTACATAATTTTTAACAAAAGTATCATTTATAGGATTTTACCCTCATTAAATTCTTATTGACAAGTTGTTCTCCATTTAATTAATTAATGCCTTTAATATATTATTAAAAATAATATATATATATATATATATATATAAAGAATAGATCAAATTATATCGATGTAACTTATATAACTATTATACCTTTTAATAAATTTTAATTTAATGATGTTTTCTCAATTATTAGATTGAAACTTTCTTTCACTTGTATCATATATACAAAATTTCTTATTAATAAAAAAATTATTAGATATCTTATTCATATAGATTAAAATTAATGTAGTATATATTTTTGAAAATATACTCAAATATGAGTAATTTTATTATCTTTTTATTGTTGTTCAATTTTGAAAAAAAAATAGCATATATGTTCAAGGTAATATAAAGTTTTAATCTAATGGTGAGTTTTGAGAAAATATTATTAAATTGAAAGTTATTAATTGGTGTAACTTTCATGTATCTTAAGTGTGAGTATTTTTTAGCATGTGTTCTTTTAATGAAAAAAAATTAGGATTTGTTTTTTTGTGACACTATAAGTCTTAAAGTGTTACTGTTGATTTTATTTAATTATATATTGTTGTATAGGTTATTGTTTTGTGTTGAGAGACTCTATATCTAAAGATTTCTTATGAGTTTTAGTGACTCAAGTTTTTTTTAGGTGAAGATTTAGTTTGACCCGAGGGAAGTTGGTATATAAGATTTTTGTTTAGAATCGAGTCTTGTAAGTCCAATTCTTCAAAAGCTTAGAAAGATGAAGTCTATAAAGAAGTGCTCTAGTTTGTGAGTCTCTTTCTCTTATAAACCTTTTCTTGTAGGATGATTCTTCTTCCTAAATCTCATTCTTGTCGTGTTGTTGTTTGATTTAGGTCAGTAGGAACCTTGAATTGAGTTGTTGATTTGTTCATAGTGGGCTTGGAGTAGCTTAGTGCTCTTTTTCTCTCTTTTTTTCCCAGTTCTTTTTCAGTTTCGAGGCAAGAGAAGTTGGATTCCTGCTTTTAGTTGAGTTACTAAGTTGTTGAATGATTTTTGAGTTACATGTTGTTTGAAATCTTTGAGATTCGTAATTGAGTTGGTTGATTCTAAGTAGGTTGCATGTTGAGAGTTGAGGGTTATGGTTTTGGGAAACAATATGTTGAAAATATTTATGTTTTGGTTTAATTATGAGTTGCATGTTGGAAATGGTGTTTTTTATATGAGTTGCATGTTGGTTTTACTGGATTTCATGTGAATAGCGAGGAGAATTTGTGATCTGCATAAGTGTATAACTTATGTTGCATCAAGTGCACCTTCAAGAAGTCATACATGGTTTCAACATGAGGCCATCTGATACTTTGCCACACCAGTGTAGATTGGTGGCATCAAACGTGAGGAGAGAGACTTGTCTCAAGTTGAAATTGCGTCGAGCGTGATTTGAATGGTGTTAGACGTGAAACCACTAAGAGGTCTCTAACTTGGGGACAAAGAACCTCAAGTTAAGTGGAGGCTGTGGAGCCTAGTGTGGTCGAGCCATAACTCTTTGCCTATACGATGTTAGTTGCCAGTGTGGTGACGTTGAACATAAGTTAGGCAAAGACTCTTTGCCTAAAATGAGGTTGCATGTGGGACTTTACCACACTGTGCATGAGGTCCCAAGGGCCTTTACCACACTGTGCATGAGGTCCCAAGGGCCTTTACCTAATCCATGTTGAGTGTGAGTTGTATTGCACCGGGTGTGGATGAGATAAAGGATATTTTGTCTGAATGGCACCAAGCACTAATTGCTAAATGAAAACTTGTTGTTTGGTTGATAAATTGTCAAATACAAGTATAGTAGGTTAATCTATTACATGTTTTAAGTTGCTTAAAGCTTATCATTATATGTATGTTGATATATGATGGTAATTAAAGATGATTGATGGTTGAGAGTTGAAAGTGAATTGAGTTGTATGTTGTGTTTGGGTGGTGTAGTTGTGTTGAATGTGCTTTAAGCATGATGTTGTAGTGTTGCTGAGATGATGAATGTTGCGAATGCTTTAACCATTCAGGCATGGTGTTGAAAATTGTGTTGATCAACTTAGAACTAAATGAGAGATTTTAGAAGTTGTATATCTTATTGCAGGGATATTATGTTGTTTAGGGGTTGAGAGCCCAATTAGTTAAATAAATCTTTTTGATAAGTTGACTCTTGAAGAGACTGTTAAGTCTCCTCTATAATCTTAGTTAGTACTATACATGGACAAGGTCAAGACATGCGTGTATAAAGCGACCATAATATAGGAGTTAGGTTAAACTATATTAATTACGAGTGATCAACCGAGTAAAGTACAAAGTTGAAAACTTATTTTCTAACTGATTATTGGAAGGACGTAGTATTTGGAGGGTAGTTAGTGGATTAATCTCATAAGAGACTTAGTTAAGCCAGCTAATGTTATGGTAGACCTATACCTAGTTGTTCTACCTTTATAGTAATACTAGACTTCTCAAATTAAGTGACGACATCTGAGAAGCCAAATTGTTTGTGTTATGGATTGATATCTAATTTGTTGTTGATTTAACAAACTCGAAAAGATCATCATGTGTTGTTGGTTCAATAGGGTCAAATCATTTAAATTATTAACACTGTGTTGTAGGAGATTTCCTAATTGAAATACGTGATGACACATGTAGTTGTTATGTTGTTGTGATGAACAATCTAAGTTGTTGATGTAGTGATGTTCAACTTGATACCGTGTTGTAGTTGACTGAATTGTTCATGTTGATATATGATGATTGTGTTGTGATATCATATGTTGATAGTGTTGAAAATGAGGTGAAGATGTGATGATATTTTAATATTATGGATATTTTGTGTTGTATATATATATTGTTTCTTTAAACTCTAACTTATCCTTGCCTGTTTTCATGTGGATGGATTGCAATGATCATGCTTGGTATGATAATAAAGTATGGATAGATTTATGTGGGAGCTGTTTTAGAGGCCATGTTGAGATTGACGATGCTAATATTTTGTGCTACCTTAGAGTAACTAGTTGATGGTAGGAGTTTGACCGATAACTTAGATTGTATAGTTTACTTTTATTAAATTATTATATTTATATCATACATGTTTGCATAGTTGTTTGACTTTCATATAAATGATATATAATACATATTCAAATATCAATAGACATATAACTTTAAATTATTAGTTGTCTTTTATTGTTAGTTGAACCGTTAAATATAAGGATTATGATAGATCATAAAATCATTTTATACATTGATTTAAATTAATGAAATAAAGTATCAAATAGTTTTTAATTTTTTTTTAATTTACAAATTGAACACAATCAACTATTTTGCATGCGAGTGTTTTTAAAAGTTTTTCTTCAACGAGATAATTTATAGGAATTCTTTTAATTTCTTAATTTAATTTTATTTATCATAATTATTTATAAATTAAATATTAATTTTTAAAAAAATATCAATAAATAAATAAGATTTTTATATTATACTATAAATTATTTATCTTAAATTTAAAATATTATTTTCATGTTTAAAAATATTATTTACATAAAATTTAAATTTTAACTATATATAATAAACATAATTGTATATTGCATGAACTAATATTAATATATATATATATATATATATATATATATATATATTATAGAAATTTTAACAATGGGGACTTGTTGCACTATTTTAATTTTGTTATATAAAATGCTTAAAAGTGATATATCAAACTTTGCTACAAAATGTTAATCATTTTAATGTTGCATAATAAACACTTAAATATTTGTGTCAATGTTATATAGACATTTTTTTTCCTTCATTCCTCTTCGTTAATAGTCATGGAACTCCATTAGCTTTTTGTTTTTTAATACTATCACAAAATAAAAATTGACAACTTAAGATGACCTTAAAAAGGAAACCATATAACTTGATACGAAGTTTTTCTAACTTAACATATAAACTATAATACAAAATTTTTAAATATTTAATTTTATTAAATATTTCATAGAAAAATTTATTTCCTCCAATAATTTTACGGTCTGAATATTTTGGGGAAAAAAATCTTCTTTGAAGCTTTTTTTATTAACTTTAAAATATTTTTAAACTAAAAAAACTTTTAAAACAGGCCCAATTTACAAAAAAAAAAAAAAAAGAAGAAGAAGAAGAAGAAGAAGAAGGTCCATTTGAAAGAAACAGAAACATAGGAAGAAACCAGACACACTAAGACGAACCCTAAACCCTGGTAAGGACTAAGGAGTTATTGACATTGATGCATGGCGGAAGTTAACACTTTGGTGGTGCGAAAGCCCTGTTTTGGCCTCCCAACTGGTTGCCCTCAATGCCTCTCTGCTTACATCTATCTCAAGTTCGCTCAATTTCCCTTCTTCTTGGACTTCCACCTCAACAACCCTCATTCTGGTAACACCCCTTTTCCCCCTTTCCCCTATTTTTCTCTCTGACCCTCATGGCTTCACATTCCATCTCATAATTTTATTTATTTATTTATTTTTACCGTTTTTTAGCTCATGGGCATGCCCTTTTTTGTTTTGTTTAGATCAAATTCCTTACTTTGAGGTTGGTGACACTGTGGCTTATAATAATGAGAAAGAAGGGATCATTGAATGCTTGAAGAAAGATGTTGGCGTAGTTGATTTAGACAGTGGAGTTTCTTCACTCCCTGATTGGATTTCAACCAAAGCAATTCTCACCGCTTGGCTTGCTGATGCACTTGCCTATGAACTCTGGCTTGGGTGTGAAGGTTCCTCTGCTTATACTATCTATTACTCTGATCTTCCGTGGCCGTTGGGGAAGATTCTATTTTGGAAGAAAGCTCATTGGGTGAAGTTGAAGCATGGGATAACTAATGACAATGCTGAAGTGAAGAAAGAAGAGGTTAGTTTCTTTCCCTATCATGCATTAC